AACAATAAAATAGGAAGTGGGCCTGAGGAAGGCATGTTAATCAAGGCAGGCATCTACCCAAATAGTTTGCAAAGGTCTATAGTCTAAATGTTACTTTGTCGTATTGTGCAGAATGAGCATTTCATGATTTCCTTAACATACATGCTCAATTACAGAGTTTACAGTAATCAAATCTTCTTTTCCTTATATTTTTTACAGTCAGGAATTGGACAAAAAGGAGAGTTACTGAGCTGCCATTTTAGGATTTAGCTAAAAAGGGCCCAATGGAGGGACACCAATTTTAATGAGGCATAGTGACGCTGGGATATTTCATAATGATGCCACAAATAGCCTCTTATTTTTAATTAGCTATAGTGACCAATTACATAGCAAACCATTAATAGATCCATAGTCATCACAGCAGGGTTGTCCACAGGTTGTGGTCAAAAAAGCCAAGATGGTGTCCACAATACACACAAAAAACAGCTCATCACAGACTTAGATTTTTTTTTCATTCTTAATGGACATTTCTGTAAGTAAGCAGCTTATTTATTTACACAGCCTCTACATTTATGAATATCCACTTTGATATATACCAACATTTAAGTAAAATTGTTATTTCACCCGAGGAAAAGGTCAGAACAAAGAAGCAGAAGACCCTTAAGTCACCTTTTTGTAACTTTTCTTGTAATTTTCTTCCTTTCCCTCTAACCTCCCCTTATGTTTAAGGCATATCAAGAGCAGCATTCCTCTGGATATGGAAGTAAGCTGTGATTATAAATCTCAAAAGACAAAATAAATATCTTCCTAATCATGTCAATTACTTTATTTTAGATGTGATAAAAATAAACCCAGAATCCTTGATTCTTAATTGTATTTAAATAACCCAAGGTACAGAATTACTTTGAACTTCAGTTAAAACAATGTTATATCATAATCTTATTCTGTACCTAATTTATTCAGTTACGTGAGATTGCAGCTTTAAAACAATCCTACATTCAGTTTATTCGAGGGATTTTATTCAGCACAACTGAATGCCAAGTAGACTTGAATGCACGTTCAGAGTTATGGAAAAACCCAAGGGCAATGTACAAAGAGAAGACTGAGGGGAGACATGATAACAATCTTCCAATATTTGAAGGGCTGCCACAGAGAAGAGGGCATCAATTTATTCTCCATAGCACCTGAGGGTAGGACAAGAAGTAATGGGTGGAAGTTCCAACCTGGAAATAAGGAGGAATTTCCTGACAGTGAAAACTATTAAGCAGAGGAACAGCTTGCCTCCCAGAGTTGTTGGTGCTCCATTGCTGGAAGTTTTCAAGAAAAGATTGGACAACCATTTGTCCAAGATGTTATGAGGACTCTTGTCTTGGGCAGGGGGTTGGACTAGACCACCTCCAAGGTACCTATGATTCTATGAACATACCATGAGGATATAAATTGCAATAAAAAGGTAAAATGTGTTCTAATTCCATCATTGGAGTTAAAGCTTCATTTAAAAAAAATTGGCATGACAGGTGGATAGTAATGAAGAAATTGGAGCTTGATGTATGACTAATAAATCAAATTTGTAAAAATATATTTATGCTGAAATCTTATGTCTTCTGTGACAGTGTTTTTCAAACTTGGCAACTTTAAGCTGAATGGACTTCAACTACAGAATTCCCCAACTACAGAATTCCCAACCAGCATTCCTCTCATCTTGAAGTTGCCAAGTTTGAAAAACACTGGTCCACCAGGAGTCATAAGACTGATGAGTTTTCTCCTTTGGAGGTCAGGAAAAACTCATTGGAGTTGGAGGAAGGAACTGAGGCTGTCCCTGCTTCCAGGGTCAAATCTTTCCATGGGGGAATCTATCTTTAGAAAACAAAGCCCAATATACCAAGTCTTCACTTAGGTTGAAAGCCTCTTTGGGAAAACATGAAGGCCAATTCAAAAAAAAATTAAGCCAGTTTGAAAGCTGGTACTTAAAACAAATAAACAAAGCCAAACCTTTTTCTATCCCTTTGCCAGTAGGGCTTTTTGAGGCACTTCTACAATGTTCTACTAATTTTCCAGATTAAGGTAATTATACTGAACTTGAGAAGTGCTCAGTATGTTAGCAGTGATATTGTATACTCTAAGTAAAGATTATGCAAACGCTTTCCACCTAAAATATGTGAGGCTAATGCAGGTGGTCAGAAGGCTGGAGAAATAAGGAAGTAATAATACAGTTCTCCTATATGTGAAGTTACATTGTTGTGGCGTAATTTGTTTTTTGAATATCCCTGTGCAATATAACATTCTCCTAATTTTATTTATTAAAATTGTATGCTGCCCATCTCCCCTGGAGGGTGAGTCTGGGTGGTTCAGTTAAAGTAAAACCCAAAAACAATTAAAAATATAAATACCCACATTAATTAGTTAAAAAGTCAGACTATATAAAAAGATCCTACACATAAAAATATTCAAGATGATGGGGGGGGGGGGGTAGAATCAATTACCCAATAAGCCAATTCCACTGGTGCAACCCCCCCTCCGGCCAATAGCCAAGATTTCACGCTCTTCTTGAAGGCCATGTGAGTGGGGGCACACCACACCTTGGGTGGTAAGTTGTTCTTCAGACCAGGGGCCACGGGAGAAAAGGCCCTCCTCCTAGTCCTGACCAGTCAAAATTCCTTGACCGGTGGGGTCTGCAACATGCCCCTTCTGCCAGACCGAGTGGGGTGGGCTGATATAACGGGGAGACGGCTCCTCAGATAACCTGGTCCCGTGCCATGAAGGGCTTTAAAAGGTAATAACCAACACCTTGAATTGGACCTGGAAGCAAACCAGCAACCAATGCAGCTCGCGTAACAGAGGTATTATATGGCCCCCCCCCAGGGGCATTCAGAACTGTCCACGCCACTGCATTCTGTGCCAGCTGTAGCTTCTGGAAAATTTATAATTTAGACAGTGGTGCTAAATGTCACCCCTTCATGGATCACTGCCTTGCCTTGGCGAAGGGGCTTGCATAACTCAGTGAAGCCATGAGCCATGAAATCGAGGAAAACAATAGAATGGGGAAGACTAGAGATCTCTTCAAGAAAATTGGTGATA